GAGAGAGAGAGAGAGAGAGAGAGAGAGAGAGAGAGAGAGAGAGAGAGAGAGAGAGAGAGAGAGAACTGTCTCCCTCTCTCTGTCTCTCTGCGCCTTCCGACCTCTTTCCCTCAGTTTGTTTTGATCTTCCAACATCCCCATTGCTATTCTCCAACATTCCCATTGCTATTCTCCAATAGCAATGGGAATGATTTCCCTCTGTTTGTCTGTGTGTTGTGAATGATTTTTTCACATTTGGAAGATCAAAACAAACTGAGGGCAAAATCTCATTCATAACACAGACGAACATATCACTGCTGAGACCTTTGTCGCCTTCCTCGTCTAAGGCCTGCAAAGGGTAGACTTTTGCCGCCTTCCTCTTCCAAGGCCTGCTGCAAAGGGTAGAGACCAACATGGCCACAAAAGTTAGAGGGAAACGGCAGAATGGCAAGGGGGGGGTTATGGCTGCGACCGTGTCGAAGACGACAACCGCGACAGTACCGACAACAACTGCAAGTGTTCTGAAGAAGATGCAGGTTGTCCAATGTGCAACGCCGCCGAATCTGAGAAAGCGTTCATGGAACGACGGAGAAGCCTCCATAGACGAACCGACACCCAGTCCCAATCTACGGACCATCGATTCTCTGATTACATCATCACTGAGGAAGTGGCAAAAATCATTGGGTACTCGTGCTTGCTCTTTTCCTCCTCCTCTCTCCATCCATTGGGGTGGGGAGAGGATCCGAATAGCTCTTTTTTTTTTACTGTTTTTTTTTATTTTTTTATGCAGAAGATCCAAGTATCTCACATCCTTGTAAACCCTTTGTTGCCGACTCGGAGTTTAAAGACTAATAAGTGCAATCAGACTCGCCTTATTTCTCACTTTGCATGCATACAAACAGATGGTAGACCAAACTGGCGCCAGGCGCCCACTCAAAGCTCAGAGATATGGAGACCGAGAACATAGTTCAGATGCAAACTCGCTTCAACAGGCTATGGCGACTGAGCGCCGAACAACTCTCTTCACCGACACGGTGTCCACAACCATCGTTCGCATACACTCAACTCTGGATCACCCTGGATATCCCACACGCTTCCCTGTACTACACACATACACGCACTAAAGCCTATCTCTAACCCACGGCGGCTATGGCCGCTCAACTACTACTGACTATGGAGTAGTATGGACACTTTATCTTTCTTCAGCCCACTTCGACTTCGGGCAACCTGCAGACCACCTCGCACAAGACGCTGGGGCAGCGCTTCCGCATGGCTCACGCAGCGAATGAATGAATGGCTGGGCGCTGCCTCTCGATTTATACTTCTGTAAGTCGTTGGCCTGCCCCTTTTCCACCAGGCCCATGGTGCACACAGTCCCTCATGGCACTTGCCGACTGTGCAAAGTGAGACTGGGACTGGGTACCGCTGACTAAGCGAAGTTGGACTCGCCACTTGCCCACTTGCCTCTGACTGAACATGAGAACTCTCCGGACCTTCCGGAAGTTTGTGGACTTGGCCTTTCAGGACTGTAGCAGCTACAACCCCTACTCGACAGAGCTACAGCTCGAACCCCTACACAAGTACACAGACCTACGAAAGACAACAGCCAATTACCAAAACACAGGTCGCGGGTTCAAACACTCAGGGGCCAACTCGATACTGTACACGGGTAAGGTAAGGTCTGGGGATCGAACTCTGGGACCCGCATCTGTGACTGCAAAAAAGTGAAAACCGTTTCATAAGAGTGAAAAACTCAAAAAAAAAGTTGATAAAGACATCACTTGAGTTGCATATTGTTTTTCCCCAAAAAAAAAAAAAAAAAAAAAAAAAAAAAAAAAAAAAAAAAAACAGTGATAGGCAGAAGGGGGGTGAACCGCTGAGGCGGTTGCATGGAAGTTTGAACTCCACCGGATGCAGATAAGAAAAAAAACGTTTTTCACAATCATAAGTTTGTAACGCGTTGCACTTCGTATTTACTATTCACTATTTACTATAGTGATGTTGAAGCACCTCCTGGCCTAAGAGGTCCTTGTCCTTCGTCACGAGAACAAGAACGGTTCTGCTGGTTTGAACTCTGGTTTGACTGTTTGAGCCGTAAAGTTTACAAACACCTCTCTAGTATGTTTGTAAACTTTGTATCATACACCAAAGCACACCTCTCTAGTTTGAACCATAAAGTTAACAAACACCTCTCTAATATGTTTGTAAACTTTGTATCGTACTTCCAAAACACACCTCTCTAGTATGCTTGTAAACCTTGTATCATACTACCAAAACACACCTCTCTAGTATGCTTGTAAACCTTGTATCATACTACGAAAACACACCTCTCTAGTATGTTTGTAAACTTTGCATCATACTACCAAAACACACCTCTCTGGTATGTTTGATAAACTTGGTATCATACTACCAAAACTAGCGAGGTGTTTGTGAACTTTACGATTCAAACTCGCACTGGAGTTCAAACTACCACTCCACATGTGCGCACTAGAATTCAAACTAGCACTGCACATGTGCACACTACAATTCAAACTATCACTGCACATGGGCACACTAGAGTTCAAACTAGCACTGCACATGTGCACACTACAGTGCTAGTGCAGTGCTACCTAGTTTGAACTGTACTGTGCGCATGTGCACTGCTACTTTGAACTCTAGTGTGCCCATGTGCAGTGATAGTTTGAACTGTAGTGTGCCCATGTGCAGTGCTAGTTTGAATTCTAGTGTGCCCATGTGCAGTGCTAGTTTGAATTCTAGTGTGC